CCAGCTTGGCCCCCCTCAGAACCAACAGGGCCTGGATTCAACAGAGAGAGATTTGGGAGGATGCTCCAGTCCTGAAAGCTGTGTGGGCCCACAGCGGTGCCCGCCTGACCTTCTGGCAAAACACCACAACGCAGCCTCCTCTCCGCTGCCTTAACCTCCCAGCTGCCCGGTCACCCCTGGCGGTGTCTGAACACCTCTTCTCTCACCCGCCTGGGACGTCTCAGCCATGGGGACCTGGGCTAATTCGGGCAGAGCTGCTTGCAACGTGCCCAGGAAATGCAGGCTCCCACTTGGTCAACATTCTCCCCCACTTCTCTCAGGAGGGGACGTGTCTGAGTAAAACGCAACAGCAGCCACTAGAGACAGCAGCTGCTTCGGCAGAAGACATCTATGCAGGAGCTAGCTCTCCTGAGGAAGCTGCCAATAACACAGAAAGGAGCCCTGGTGAACCGCGGAGGGTGGAGGAAGTGCCCAGTCATTGCTCAGAGTGCCGGCCGTACGTCCCGAGCCTTGGAAAGAAGCCCGGCCGGCAGAGAAACCAAGCAATGCCCTGTTTCACATCCGAGACCATTCACCCAGGGCAAGGGAAGCAAAGTGCATGCCGCCCTCTCCACCTACACTGTCCTGCCAGCCAAGGAGACGAGAGGCAAAATGAGCTGAGACTTACCAACTTCACAGAGCAGAGGAAGGCACGAGGAGAGGATAGAGGAGCTGGGACCTGGGCACACTTTTATATGGTGGCCCAGAGCCCCAGGGGAGCTGAGAAATGACCACAAACATGGGCGCGTTGAAGCATGTTGAGAAACAGCAATTTTGGCTTCTCAAAGCTCTACTGGCAGATGAAAGACATGCCTCCTTGGCTTGGAGGGCTTGGCTCCCGTTTCATCCTGGGTAGCACTGAAAGGAATTTGTTGATAGCAATTGTGTTTCGTCCTCAGACCAACGCGCGTTTGAGGTCTCATTGCACCTGAGGTCACATTCCAGTTGCTGGTGAAGCCTGGCAGCACGTTCAGGCCGTGAGTTGTTGTTGTGTGCACCCTGCTCTTCCTGGGGAGCATGGCCACCACTTCCAGGGGACATTGCCTGTGGAGCCCACCTGAAGGCCACTCAGAAGGGTCTCTCTGTGGTGGGCTGAGGCCAGCCCTCAGCAAGACCAGTGCCTGCAGGCTCTGGAGTTGCACAGGGCCCAGCCAAGCCTCTGCAGGATGGCTGTTCTGCCGAGGGACAGAGAACAGAGGAGACTCCGATCCCCAGGGTGATTGGAAGGTGAGGGTCAACCAAGGCCCTCCTGCAGTCTGGGGAGAAACCCTGCTGAGCGCAGGGACGGGGTCACCGAGGCCATTGCTGGAGTGGGTCAGGCTACTCGGTGGCACACCTCTGCTCCCCTCGCACCTCGGCGGTGCACACACTTCCCAGCCGTGCAAAGGGGGTTCAGCTGTGATCTTCGGTCAGGGAAGGCCAGAGTGTGTCCTTTGGGAACTGCACAGCCCTTGCCTTGCCTGCCAGGACTTTTCGCATTGCTCTCCTGAGGAGAAGCAACAGCTCAACGTGTCCCTGGAGAGCGATGAAGGAACCTGCTGACTCATGCCTGAAAGAGAGCCATCGCCAAGTGGACCTGCTTGCTTCAGCACGATCTTCCCAAACAACACTCATCTTGGCATCACTGCCGCGTGGCCTGTTCAGGTCACTGACCCAGAGGGTCTGGCTTGTTTCCTATGGCTCAGGGGCAGATGGCCACATTCCGGGCCCATTAACTGCAAGGCCCATTAATTCCAGCAGACCACCTTGGAGTCACCTGTGAGTGAGTCACCAAAAAGTGCTGAGGCACTAGGAGAGACCTGAGCTCCACCTCAGTGCGAGTCACTCGTGCCCTGGCATCAGGGGCTCTGGGCCAAGTGGACTCAGACGTGCAGAGGACCCTAGGCGCAACCTCGTGTCCCCATTCCTGCAGAAATGCGGCTTTTTGTACAGTGTTGTCATGGCTGCTAGCGTCTTGCCCAACTACTTGGCCGCTGCTTGCAATCCTGTCATGCTCCTTGGCGAAACAGCAGCCAAAGGAGGACAGCACGGACGTGACCCGCCGTCCCTGCTCCCGTACGTTTCTGGAGCGCAGGCCTGACTGAGGAGGAATGTTGCCGCCCCGAGGTGTCCAGGGCCTGGGGAGCCTGCTTTTCCGACAGACTGGTGTGACAGACCCCCAGCCTGAGGCTGCAGCCACTGAGTGGCACCAGATAGTGCTCCCTGATACCCTGCGAGACATGGGGGAGATGGTGCTGGCCTGGAAAGGTCTGGTGGGGGGAGCTCAAAAGGCCAGGAGTGTGTCACCAGCCCTGAGAGCTGCCTGGAGAAGGCTTCTGATGGACCGTGCTGCTTGGGAAGATGGGCCACGCTACGACACAGGTGGCCATGCCGTTTTGGGGGAAGGGTCTTGGAAGGGGGCCGTTGTCTTCTCTTACAAAAGATCAATGGCTCTGTCTCATTTCTGCTCTCATGCCCTGCAGGAAAGTTGACCCACTGCCACAGCAGGAGCGTGCCCCGAGATGTGGCTCTCGGAGTCGTGGCATTCTTCTGCTGCGGGAGGAGCCTGGTGTTTGCTGTGTCTGAGCAAATCTGAGGCGACGGGAGAGGGCACATGCACCCACCTGCCTCAGCAGGAGTGTGCCAACACCTGGGGGCAGGAAGCGGGCGGACAGCACAGGCCCACCCGTGCTCCACAAGAGGCCTTCTGCTTTGATCTGCAGCCACGAGAGGACGTGTCCTTCCCAGGGCTGGCAAGTGAAGAGCACCCTCAGGCAAGTGCCTGTGGGAGAGGACGTGTCCTTCCCAGGGCTGGCAAGGCAACCAGAAGTGAAGAGCACCCTCAGGCAAGTGCCTGTGAGTTTGCTCCTCAGCCACTTTGACCTTGCAGCCTTGGGGCTGGCTTGGACACAGAGAATTTTGAGAACGACAGTCATGGATTCCCATAGCACAGGACCTTTGTTCTTCCCCCTTCTCCTTTTTGCCTTCGGTTTCTGGCTACCATAGAGCTATCAGGCCACCTCTAGGAATGGTCCCAGTGCCCCCATCCCTTCACAGAGGGGCACTTCTCTCCGTCTCAGAGAGGGTCCCTCTTTGGCCTTCACCTTCCAGCCACCACCCACGTCCTGGGATCAGAGTCCCCTCCTTTGCGTGTCCTTCGGCCAGACAGACATCCACAGAAGCAGACAGTCAGAGTTTGGAAGGGACACAAAGATCACCTACTTCCAGCCCTCCTGCCATGGGCAGGGGCGCCTCCCACTAGACGGGGTTGCTCAAAGCCCCATCCAGCCTGGCCTTGAACACTGCCGGGGAGGGGACATCCACAACCTCTCTGGGCAGCCTGTGCCAGTGCCTCACCACCTTCGCAGACAAGAATTTATTCCTAGTATCTGATCTAAACCTACCCTCTTTCAGTTTGAAAGCGTTACCCCTTGTGCTATCCTGGGAAACGGCATGGCACCTCAAACAACCGTTGCTTTGAGGAGCCAGCATCTAATGCATCACTGTGGCCTCATTCCACATGGAAATGCAAGCCAGAACTTCAGATGAAAGAGACAAGGTCTTCATCTCTTGGCTGCGCTGTGCAAGCCTCAAATTGCTGTTTGTTAGCATACTTCACAGAGGAGGCGTGTTCCAGGTGTCCGGAGGCGCTGGCTCACCATATAAAAAGGCTCTGCCACTCCAGGCCCTTCCATCCACATCTCTGCTCTTGCTCTCCACGGTGAACTTGGTAAGTCTGAACTCACTCCTTCTCTCCCAGCTGGTAGGCTTTCTGTCAGGGGGACTGCTTCCTCTCTGTGCGTGGTCCTTCTGACACGTGGTCCAGGCTTGAAGGTACAGGGGGCTTCCCTCTTCTGGGAGGTGGACGGGTGACGGAAGCGGGAAGGTTCTGCTCTCTTCCAAGAGGGAGTCGCTGGGGCTCCTTCATGCGATGGGTCTGCTACAGTCTGAGGCTGGTCAACCAGCACCGTCTAACCGGTTGCCAGGAGCTGCCTCCCCGACACACAGTGCAGCGACTGCCCTCGATCACACCTGGCATGCGGAGGAACAGTCCAGGGAGACCTGGCCCTACTCAAGCCCTGTTGGTTCTGAGGGGGGCCAAGCTGGGGGTCTGACAGGGTGCGACACCTAACGCCCTCTGCTCCCTCCTGGTCTTGCAGAGTCGCCTCCCTGCGTGAGACATGGCGTGCTACAGCCCCTGCGTGCCCGCTGCCTGCGGCGCCACCCCGCTTGCCAACAGCTGCAACGAGCCCTGCGTCCTGCGGTGCGCCGACTCCAGCGTTGCCATCCAGCCCTCGCCAGTCGTGGTGACGCTGCCGGGCCCAATCCCCGCTGCGGGCCCCACCGCTGCGGCTGCCGTATGCGGCTCCCTCAGCGCTGCCAGTGTGCCCATCGCTTCGGGGGGCTCCCTGGGGCTGGGGGGCTTTGGGTGGGCCGGCTGGGGCCGTGGGCTCTGCGGGCCTCTGGGGCGCGGCCGTCTCTTATGCTGAAGGCCCTGCTTTGCCTGCCCGTGGTCGAGCGCCGGGAGCCTCCGGGAAAGGCCTGGGAGCAGC